CATTTTTGGTTTCCAGCAGATATTTCCTTGTTTTCTGGCTAGAGATCTGAGTTGGGGCTTAAAGCAGCTGTGGTTTTAACATTTGTCAAACCCTGGATTTATAGTGAGTGGCTTTATGACTGATTTATCCATTTCCTTCATTCCTTTCAATGAAGATGATGACACGCACGAGCAAATGGTCCCAGAGGCATTGGCAACTGCCTGGGCACTCACACAAGGTTTCCCTCCACATGTTGCTGTTATTATTATTATGCCTCACTTCAGCCTGAATCAGTGGATATAATCATAGTCATTAATGTTCTTCTCCTGCACCAAGAGCCTCAAATTCCGCGTAGTTTTAGCCCGTAAAACTGTTTGGTCATAAAATTTAAGATCACGTGGAATTGTGGAAAATTCCTAAATGCATTTTTTGGGCAAACTAATCTCAACTCTTGGGCAACCTTTTGCCTCACCTGAGCCCTTTCCCCACAGATCTTAAAGTAAGGCGGAATTTGAGCATTTTCCACAATTCTTCACGATAATCATAATCCTTCCTTTAGTTATAGCAACTTTCAGGTCGGGAGGATATCTCAAAGCCCTTCACAAGGTACGCTGTAAAGTTGAGTGGCTGTATTTTGAGAGCGAACGCAGCAGCCAATATGCGCACAGCAACATCCCACAAACAGCCACAAAGTGAATGAACGATTTTAACTCATGTCACGATGGGTAAAAGTTGAACACAAAATGGTTATGACAGGAGAAGAGGAGGTGACATTTTGGACCCAAGATGCTTTCAGAAAGGGAGGGGAGTGGAGAACGTTGGCAAAAAAAATACTATCTCCCCTCCCCTCCCTGCCCGCCCACCCGCCCTCACCCCCGCCCCTACCTTCCCCTTTACTTTAATCTGTCAAATTGGTTACAGACAGGATGCAAGCATCATTACTTCTTTTTCCTCCAATGAAAATAATAGAATTCCGAGTGCATTTGCTAAGGTCATTCTGCCCTTTGGTACATTGTTGTTTCAGTGGAAGAAATGCTAATAGATGTGTTTTTTAATGGTTGATGTGTATCGTATTTGGGCAAGCCTTCATGCAACTTAACCATAGCTTGTGTGCCAAGTTTGGTTCCCCCCCCGGTGACGTAACCAGGGGGAGCACTGGATTCTCAAGCTGATTCCATAAGAATGGTATTTCATAGCTATCAATGCATTCTTCCCTCATTATTCATTGGCATAAAAACTGGTGTATATATTCCGAGCCAGTGTAAACGTCACCAGCTGGCAAAATAATACTTCTTGTGATAATAATGATTCATGATAATCCTTGCATTCGATACAGAACCTTAGCACATCGTTGAGACGTCTGAAAGCGCTTCACAGGATACCCTGTAAAGTAAATTGACTGTGTATTTTGTGGGCGAAACGCGACAGCCAATTACGCACATCAGGGTCCCCACAAACAGTCGTGAATTGAATGACCAAATTATTATTTTTCTTTGAGGTGATTATTACCCTCAGAAAGCGATCCGCCTACTAAATAACATTTATACTTGGATAAAGGAGTACACTTGGGTGCACACCCAACTGACCCCCCAAAAAGTGTGTTGTAGTCCATTTTGAATGACACTAAAGCCTTTTAAGGACATTCCCTTTGCCTTCTTCAGCATCTCCACTGCCAATGCAGATGCCAAACCCTGTCTGAGTAATTGTTGCCCAGGAATTGGGATCCCCAGATGTTGTGGTTACTTGCGCAGAGGAAGCTGTAATTTTCTCCTGATGTTTGAACTCTCTGAACCAGAGTTTTCTTTGACTTTTTATTTTTGAAAGCCTTTTTTTAAAAAAAATTCTCTCACAAAACCCTAATGGGCTATTCAAAGAGAGAAGGTAATTTCTGTTTCTCACGGTGTCCAACAACAACAACTTGCATTTACACAGCCCGCTTCACATGGGGTAGAGTCCTGGAATGCTTGACAGTGGTGGAGCCTGACCCCGAGCCAGGGGGAGAAGGAGGAGGGGGAAGTGATTGTAAGCACGATCAAAAAGGAAGGTCTTTAGGCGGGATTTGAAAGTGGGGAGGGAGGGAGCGAGGCAGAGGGATGGAGGGAGAGAGTCCCAGAGGTATCCAGGCCAACCAGATAAAATTGGTCACTCCCTTCATGGCTGTTTTGGGGACATTGCTGTGTGCATCCTGGTTGGCTGCATTCGCTCTCGCCTACAAAAATACACAGTAATTACGCTTTACAGAAACTGTTTTGAGACATTCTTGATGTGTTTTTGTCAAATGCAAAGGATAATTATGAAGATTTTGGGTGATTTGCCAACTGGCCAGCATAGACCTCGATTTGCCACTGAGATAGACCAGAATTTTATAATGAACATAGACACACATCACAGACACACACGCCACACATGCACAGACACACGGCACAGACACACACACACACACAACTATGTCAATCTGACCAGCGCAGGTGTGGTTCAGAACAGCCGAACTGACAGGTAACTGTGGTACAAACAAGGCAACGTGTTTCCACTGAGTTAATATGTCAAGCTCTCCTCTGGCGGTGTGTCCAGCGAGCACACTGAGATAACTAATATGTCTGTTTGTTCCCGGAGATCAGGGTTAGAGAAAAAAGCCACAAGTTGTAACTTGGAAGCTGGTACCATTCCTTCTGCTTGGGTCCGCCCGCTATTCTCTCGCACAGGAGCCTCAGGCTCTTCAGAACTGGTTCTATGTGAACTTTTCTATTCGAACTTGTCACACTCCTCGCTGGTCTCTCCAGCTCCGCTTTTGAAAATAAAATCCAGCTCATTCAGAACTCTGCCGCCCGCATACTGACCCGGACCAAGCTCCGTCCCTACGTCTCACCAGCTCTGGCCCAGGCTCCACTGGCTCCCCATCACTGAACGGATCAACTTCAAGATCCTCTCACTCTCGTGGTCAAATCCCTTCACTCTCTGGCACCTCCCTCCCTCCCTCCCCGGCCTCCTCACTCCCCAATCCACCACCCGACTCCTCTGCTCAACTGGCACCGTCCTCCTGCTCATCCCTCGCACCCTCCGCCCCACCATTGAAGGTCGCGCTTTCAGCCACTACACCCTGAAGCTCTGGAACGCTCTCCCCGAATCCCTCCGCCTTGTCCCCTCTCTCCCCCTTTTCAAGTCCCGCCTGAAGACCGACCTTCCTCTTGGACCATGTTCACGGCCACCTTTTGGTTGAATCTGGGACTATGTAGGAACCCGGCTGGATCACTTTTCCGGGGATAATAATCGCTTCAAAAAATAACGAAATAATTTGGTCACTAACTTGTGGGACACTGCTGTGCGCAATTGTCTGCCAAGTTCCACTCACAAAATAGACAGTCAATTCACCTTACAGTATATTCTGTGCAGCGCTTTGAGACGTCTCGAAGACGTGATAAGTCGCTGTATCAAATGCAAGATTATTATTAATATGAAGTGCAAAGAGTTAATTAAACTCCCCATAAATGAGCCTCGGCCCCTCTGATTGTGATTACAAAGACTTAATAATAATAATTGTGCACAGCAGTGTCCGACAAACAGCCCTGGACTGAGCGACCACATAATCGCTATTTTTTTTAAGGGAATAATTACCCTCGGAAAGCAATCCGCCAATCGACTAACATTTATATTTCGTATTATTTATTTATAATAATTTGACAACTTTTTTTTGCCCTGAGATTTGGGATGTAACCTCCACTTTTAACCCCAGCCTCAGGGGGCTACACTGCGCAGCGCGGAGAGCTCGGGGAGGGCGATGGTTAATGAGTTAATTTAACTGCCTGTGTTAATGTGATCAATGGAGCAAAGGTCAATCTGGAGAAATCAGCAGGTAATCTGGAGGAGAGAAGGGGAGGCAAATAATACATAACTTATCACCAGGGCTGAGGGTAACCACCTCTTGGTGCTAAAGTCTTGTGTGAGTTGGTGAAGCCCTGAGTTTTATTGTTCTTGTTCAATAGAAAGACAAACAGGGAGTGGGAGACTTCTACACACATCGGCCACAGTGTCGGATTTCATGGCTCCACATATAGCATTGCTACTTCCTACTGATCCTGGTGTCAGCCTCTGAAAGGCACTCCGTGACTGTGCGGTGAAGGGTTCAGGTGAGAGGGAGAGAGAGAGGAACCTACAACTGCGTGTGTTTTAAACACAAAAAGACAGTGGTCGCCGAGAGGGTGGACTTTAAACCGACCATTGCGAGTTGCCATTTCCATTTAAAGACTGGATGTGGGATTAACGTGAGTCATCTGAGCTGTGGGGCACTCAACTAACATTCCTTTTTATTTTTTTTTAACAGCTCCCCCCAAAAAAAACAGTCTGGAGAGAAAAGGGAGCCAAGCTCTGTGTGTGTGAGAATGTGTATGTGAGTGAGTGAGTGTGTGAGAGTGAGTGAGTGTGTGAGAGTGAGTGAGTGTGAGTGTGAGAGTGTGTGAGAGTGAGTGTGTGAGAGTGAGTGTGTGAGAGTGAGTGTGTGAGTGTGAGAGTGAGAGTGAGTGTGTGAGAGTGAGTGACTGAGAGTGTGTGAGTGACTGAGAGTGTGAGAGTGAGTGAGAGTGAGCTAACACTAAGGCAGGTATTTGGTTGGCGATTTGTCATGTGAACCCAGAGACGGGTCTTTAACTCCATGTCCTGACCACTGACTGACTTGACTGTATGTTGGACCTCTGTGAGGCTCTGTCTGTATGGGATCTCAGTACCTTGTGGGGAGGCTGTGAGTGAGGGAGGGAGTGAGTGTGAGTGAGTGAGTGTTGAACGAGCATCATGTCATACCATCAGGGAATGGGTCAGTGAGTATTTTCAGAGTTTATTGCTTTTTCTTCTCCCCCCCCTCCCCTCCAGATTGGGGAAAGTTAATGCTGTGGTTATTTTTTTCTGGGGATTGAAATTGAAACTTTTAAGAGAAGTTTTGGACGTGGAATGTATTTCAGACTCAACTCCCTGTTTGAGTTCTTCTAGTGAGTGAGTGATTATTTAATTCCCTGTCTGTAGGGGTGGGAGGGGGAGCTGAACACACACACTCTCTCTCCTCTCTCTCTCTCTCTCTCTGGGGTTTGATCTCAAGGTCAGACGGGCTGTTTTTTGGGGGTGTGCGGTGGGAGGGGAGGAGGGAGATCAGGTGAAGTTTCCTCTCCTCGCTTCTCTCGATCCGAATCATGGAAGATTTATCAGGCTCCGAGACGTCTCTAAGCAGCAAGAAGAAATCCAGACCGGGCTCGTTGCGGAGGGCGTTCAGTTGGCTGAGGTTGTCAGGACGCAAGAAAAGGAAAACGTTGAGCGAGGGGGACAAGCCGGCAGCCAAACCACCACCGGACCCTCGCGCGCACACAGGTAATCAGCTCATTCACATTCCAGCACCAACTCTTGTCAGCTTGTGTTCAAGGTCAGTTGGTCAGTCACTTAAAGGGACAGCGTCCCCCAGAAAGAAGACATCTTTCTTGTTTTGCCTGTGTGGGGGGTGTGTGTGTGTGTCCGTGTGGGTGGGCAGGGGCTTGTGTGGGGGAATTTGCAAGTCAATCGGTTGTAAAGTGTCAAGATTTTTTTTAGGTGGGGGAGGGGGGTGTACTGGGTTGTTGCCTGGTTTTAAAAACAAGTCCAGAAAATTTGTCTTGTATGTGTGTACAGTAAATTCAGCATAAGTCTGATCTGTATCAATCGTATAATCGCCCCCAAGTAGTACATCTGCCCAAATCCCGTCCGTTCAAGAGCTTATGTTCTGTGCAAGTTTGACATAACTCATACTCTGCATAAATCATATTAAATGCGTGGTCCCGACTGATACGACTTGTGCGAGGTTTACTGTCATTCATTTGAAATAAATAAATGCCGTTGTCCTCTTTGAAGTCCTGGTGAATGAAGCAAAAAGATGATTGAAAACTGAGACGTTTCTCTCGGAGTAGGCTGGTGGGATTGGCACCTTCTGATTCTGTTGGAACCCAATCTAATCTGAACTAAACTGATCTGTCTCCTGGACACTAAATGCTACGAAGATGAAAGTCTTTTGGTACAACATTGTTTTTGTAATGGGGGAATTTCCACGGGTAGGTGGAAGCCATGGCATTCTCAGCTTGGTTTGGAGACGCTTTAAGCACGGTGACGGGTTTCCATGTGTGTCAGACACCCTGGTTGGCCAAAACAAAAGGTGCCTAACGCAGACTGTCGATAGGATTGAGTGCGAGTCCCAGCTGAAGGGAGATGGCGGTGCTTTGGATGCTGGAGGAGATAGGGCAGTGGGCGTGTTGTGTGCTTGAAGCCAGTATGAAACCTCCGTGGTGCGGTGAGGTGTGGCTCAGGAATGAAGCTAGTTCACACTCCCACTTAGTTTTGAAAAGGTTTTGGTTTCAAGTTAGATCCAACCTCTTGTTTGACAAAATAGATGAGTTAAAACTGGGAAGAAATGCTACTGCCCGGAACGAGGCAATGCCTGACAGCAGAATAACAGCCACAGTTTGCCAGTCATTCTAGCAAGGGTGGTTTCCTGTACATAATAATAATCCTGGCATTGATACAGCGCCTTGTCAGGCCATCGAGACGTCTCAAAGCGCTTCACAGAATATGCTGTAAAGTGTAGTGACTGTATTGTGTAGGCGAAACGCGGCAGCCAATTGTGCGGCAGCTAGTGTCCCACGAACAGTCGTGGATTGAGTGACCAAATTATTATGAAGGAATTATTAGTTGATTGGCGGATCACTTTACGAGGGCAACATCCGGGTTCCTACTTAATGCTGGATAAACAGAGACCCGGCACTGATTTCAGGTGATCTTTTTCCTCCCAATGATAGTGAAAGGAGAACAATCCCCTTCTTGTCGCTTAGTGGCCTCTCTTTACAAGTCTCTTCTCACTTTCACTACAAAATCATTTTGAGGTTTGACTAATGTGCTGCACAAATCCAAGCCCCCAGGCCTCCGCTGTCTCTTTTTTGTGAAAGTGTTGAACTGAATGGATGCAGTTCAACAAAACACAAGTCTCACAAAATGCAAATGATAATAATTAGCAAACACAGGCAGTGGTGTTGTGGAGACGCTTTTCCAAATGGAATTTCTGAGCAGAGAAGCAAGAGGGGATTGTTTAGTCCACCTGGTCCGTTCCACCCTGTTTGTTAGAGACACAGAATAGGAACGTAGGAACAGGAGGAGGCCATTCAGTCCTCGGGCCTGTTCTGCCCTTCAATTAGATTATGGCTGATCTAGATCATTTCTATGCGTAGGTGGCATGCATATGTGGAGCTCTATTAGGTTAGGATATCCTTCAGCACGGTGATGGGTTTCCCAATGTGTGTGTAAGATACCTGGTTGATACCCAAAAAATTAGATGACAGATTTTTTAAAAAAAAATCTATTTCGCTATATCCATCCTTTGAGCTCTTAAAGATTCATTGATCTCTCTCCCTTGTAAACATCCCGAATGATTCTGTCTCTATTGAGTTACAGATCAGCCGTGAGCCAAAGCAAACAACAGGGCGGGCTGAATGGGCTGAATGGCTGAATCCTGTTCCTATGTCCACACTTTTTGGACAGCGCATTCCACATGTTCACAACTCTCCACATGAAGCGACTTGCTGTGGCTCTGAGAGTATCAATAGGACTAGAACTGAGCCGTTTGGGTTGGGTGTCTCTGCGCATGTTAATGTGACAAGGAATTCCTCATCATCTGTCCAGCAGCAATGGCAGGTGGGACACTTAAGCCAACATACACTCCAGCTCCATTGATGCTATTGTGAATGTATTGCTCCCGAGTACAGTATTGACAGAAGATGGCTTGTTATAGTTGTTAGGTAATCCATTAGCTCCAGGGTAAACAGTGAGCTGGTCCTGAATGTATTTTAAGTGGCATTGCACAGTTATCGCAAAGCTGGTTTGTATCTGATTACCGAGTGAGCCCAGCACAACTGCTTAACATGTCTCTCCAGCCTACGGAAACAACAACAACAATTTGTATGTCTATCGCGCCCTTCACGCAGGGTGGCATCCCGGAGCACTTGACAGTGGCAGAGTCTGACGTCGAGGGGAGGGGAGGGGGGAGGTGACCGTAAGTACAATCAAAAAGGAAAGTATTTAAGCAGGATTTGAAAGTGGGAAGGGAGGGGGGCAAGGCGGAGGGATTGAGGAAGAGAGTCCCAGGGAGAGTTTCAGGGCAAAGTTTTTATACATATATATATATATATATAAAATCTAGATTTGTAAGCCACTTAAAAATGTACATCTTTGATCAAGCCCATGCTCCCCTCTCCCTTCCTCGATGACAACAACAACTTGCACTTATATAGCGCCCTCTACACAGGGTAGCGTCTCAGAGCGCTTAATGCCTGCTACACGTCTCTGTAAACTCCAGTGTTCAGAGAAGTTTCTCCACGTGAACGGCATCGTAGAATTACAGTTAAGAACTGTTACGCAATGGGGGAAACTGGTGCACACGACACCTGAAATGGTTAAACCCCAACCCCACTGATCTGCTTCAGATTGGAATTCCAGTAAAACTATTTATGCCAGGAAACTTGAACACAAATAATCTGGCTTCAATTTCAGGTTTTGCCTTTGGTGCAATCCACTATCTAATGTGAAACCAGCTTTCATAACCCATCATTCACCAAACAGATGTGTAGCTGCTGTTGCTGCTCCGTGGTTTAATGTGACTCTGGAATCCTGTAGCTCAGTAATTAGGGCACTCGCCTCGCAAGCGAGAGGACCTGGGTTCGATTCCCGGGCAGGTTGGGGCGAAACATTGGGCAAGTTTCCTTAATCCACATCCACACCTTTGTTTACCAGCAGTCAGTAGGAACCCGGTTGTTAGTCGATTGCGGATCGCTTTTCCAAGGGTAATAATCCCTCTAAAAAAAATTATAATAATACGTTGGTCACTCAATCCACGGCTGTGTGTGGGGGACGCAGCTGTGCACAATTGGCTGCCGAGTTTCGCCCACAAGATACAAAGTCAATTCATATTTCAGTGTATTCTGTGAAGCGCTTAGCTCTCCATATTAAATCAGTCTCTTTAAGGCTTGCTGTGTTTCTGTCGTTAATGTGCCGTTAGTTAGTGATGGGGTTTGGTATGTGTGTGAGTGAGTGAGAGAGAGAGAGTGGTGGGGGGGGGTTCACTCAGTCACTGACGATTCACCTTTAAAATAAGGAATTTGCTTTCCATGGTTACCAGCTATGTTGTGGGTATTAACCAGATTAGTGGTAACTTGCTGGAGTGACTCAGCAGGATACTGGGAGGAACACGCATTCCACAATGCTTTAACACGGCTTCTTTCTGTGTTTTATTCTCCCAAATTCCAGATAGGAATGGTTGAGATAATCATTCTTGCTCTTGCTCCAGCTCCTTAGCACATTGTTGACCGTCCGATCACAAAGCACTTTGCAGGATTTTACTGTAAAGTGTAGTGACTTCAGCCTCTCTGCCCCCCACCTTCTGGAACTCCATCCCACAGACCCTTCGCCTCACTCGCTCCCTCGCCTCCTTCCAGGAGCGACTCAAGACTCTCTTCTTCGACCGTGTCTTCAGTCACCCTCCTACCCCCACCCTCACTGCTCTCCCCCCCTCCTGATCCTAACCCCCAGCTCGGGTCCAAACCCCTGACTGTCCAGCAGCCTGGGACGACCTCCGGACGTGAAAGGCGCCGTGTAAAAGTCACGTGTTGTTGTTGTTGTGACTGCGTGTTGGTCGGCAAACACGGATGCTTGTGCTTTCAGACCTTCTTGGCTGAGGTGAAGGTCCATCACATTGTGGAGGAGGGTTGAGGATGATTCGTTGGAGCCAGTACGTCAGGGGCTTGTACTCACTCCAGTAGAGTATTACCTGCTTTAACCTTGGCTGAGGATGTGGGTTTGAGTGAGTGACACAACAAATTTGTTGGTTTTTTTTTTGAAAAAAAACTTGGAGCCGAGGAAAAGTTTTCTGCGAGGAAATGGCGACCACTTTTATCAATTCAACCCCTGCAGCTCAAACTGGATTTGAACTGAAGTGTCTGTGGCTTTTTGCTGGGTTGACTTTCCATTCATGGTTTGCTAATCTGCAGAGATTTCCCTTCACATGACCTGAGGGAAGCAGAGCTTAGTTGTTGGAAACATTGGCCGTCAGCCAAGAGGGTCTTTCACTTTGCATTTTTTCCGAAAGGCTACACACCTCCCTCCCATTGCTTCACCTGCTGTAACTGACTACTGTACATACAGCAGCAACCACTATTTGCAAAACCAACCTATACAAGGCAGTTTTGCTGTGCAGGTATCTACAGAGTTGCTGTTTGCATTTGCAGCCTTTTCAGTCTATAAAGAATCAAGGTATTGCTTAAAATCACATCCTCGTTCGGGCCACAAAATACACAGTCACT